GACCCAAGCCCGAAACATTTATAATAAAATTTAAAGAAAGTTTTAAATAGTACACATGTTATTCAGTATTCCATTTAATATTTCAACAAAATGCTGTTCCCCTTAAGACAAGTTAACTAATGTAAAAATTATGTGTAAATTTAAAGTAAATCATGTGTTTAAAATGAAAATTATTTACACTATTATCCAGAGTAAACTATAAAGAATCCCTAGATTCACATTTTAGCACGAGTTTTTCATTTAATTCCACATTATATCCATTTCCACAACAACATTTATTTTTATAATGACCACAAAGTGTAACAACATTTAAAAAGAACAGAAGTACACACATACATACAAACAATATTACATTTTACTTATATATTGATGGTTAAAATTTAAATCTGCTAACTAACAAGTTTTTCAAAATAAGAGATAATATTGTGAAACAATATTAGTATAAGGGAAGAATATATTGACATCATTGTTTTGTTTTGAAAAAATGTGAGTTAAGAGTTTTTAACCTGTAATCCTTAATATATATTTAGAATATCTTGTGAGTATTAGTGGAAATATATATTATGATCATATTTACTTGCATGTTACATACTCTTAATTTCATGATCTAAACATATAAGAAACAGAAAACAATGATTTTGTTTTTTTTTGTTATTGTTGTCTTCTGATCCATGGAATAGAATCTAGAGAGGAGACTTGAAATCTAAGCAAACACTTGAGGTTTTTTTGTAAAACCAACTCCAGCTGAATTCCAAACCAAAAGGAATTGTATATTTTTTTTAATCATTCCGTTCTATTCTACTACGGTTGGCTGCTTGTAATGGATCAGTTGGAGTAGACACTCTGGTGGAGATAAATAAATTCTTTATATGATAATGATGAATTTAATCATCATTATTATCACAGTAATTATAATGATGATACAAAACTATGGCCGGCATGACATGCAGAACAATTGTTAAATGCTGCTGCATATAGACAGACGGACGGACGGACAGACGCATGCGTGCATGTGTAGAGACGGATGGTTGGGTTTAGTTGGATAGATGGTGTCTTAGTTGGTTATAGGGAAAGTGTACCAGTACCACCATTGATCAAATTACTGTTTAAACCTAAGTATAAACAACAAAAAAACATTACCGATTACACATATCAGTACATACTATGCAACGTTATTAACAATTTATGTTGTTGGGTTGCATTTAATGCCAAGCACAGGTCCTGCTCTAGTACAGCAGAACCGGATTATAATGAATTTTTGTTAAAGAAATTTAACAGCAGTTTGCTCTTTTTTTTTGCAAAACAATAACATTCCAAACATTTTGTAACTGGGCCTAGACTGTATATGAAAATAAACTTTTTCCGGTGTTTAAATTTTATAATTTCTCTTTACTCAACTGTCATTACATTAGTTTGATCTTTAAGTTTAAAGAAATTTATTTGTATTCAGTTTAACGTAGCTCTAGTGTTTTTTTAATAATAATACAAATTACTTGCATATTAATTCATTACATTTGTTATAATGATCAAATAGAATAATGTAGAAGCAATTTCCAAGTTAAGGCGTTAGAAGATTATATGAATATTATTTTATTCAATTTAAAATTTTAGTTATTTCAAGATTTGCCAAGCAACCACTTTTGTGGTTAAAATATACTTATATACAGTTTGTATATGAATTGAAGTGTTTATTGTTTAGGTGTATTTGCTAGATATGATATGACTATAAGTACCAACACATAAGTATCTAATGGGTGCACTACACTACAAAGAGATTGTATTTCCATTAACATAAATAATTTTTCAACTTCTTCAACTTATTTTTATCTGACCATCTGTACATTGACTTTACACCCAGTTAGCGCCGCCACAAATGTGCAATTTTATTTAGTTTATTTTATTTACTTTTTGACCAGGCAATCATCCCATTCCATTCAAACTGTGCTTACATAGTCTAGAGAAAAATTTAATTTAAATATTGTTTAAAGTTTGCCTTAAAAATATTCATAAATTGACTGTGAAATTCTCAAGTGTAGGGAAAATGATGATGATGATAAAATAAAACAATTGAAAGCTAAAGCAAAATAAATACAGGTGTTAATATGTAAATTATATTTGTTTTTCGGAATTGCTAGATAATCGGGTGGGAGACCATCTGCTTTTTTAATTACTTAATATAAGAGAGTGATCGCAAAATAAGCTCCTTTTTATAGGTTTTAGCTTCGCATTTATAATACATATGATTTTCAAACTCTTCAAAGTATGGGCAATTTCATATCAAATGACCCAACTCAAAGAATCGATTTTGATGAAATTTGCACCAAGGTTTCTACTACTGGATAGTAGGCTAGATATATATTTACAGCGCGGGTTCTTTTTTCTCAAAAGAAAGCTTATACAATTTCCTTTAAGGGCTTTATAGTCCCATAATGGAATGCGAGTGGGATATCTATCAAAAAAATTATTTTTTCACTCAAGAATAAGATTTTTTCAATCGGTAGACATCGATTTTTAAAGTTGGGACACTTGGTCCTTATACATAGACTATTCTAATTAAAAAATAAAAATAAAAAAATTCTAACTAATTTATATTTTTTTCTTTTCAGGTAAGTCACTTTTGTTCTCCAGTAATATTTCACCGATTTTTCAACCTTCATATTTTACAACAAGGTAAATGTTTAGATTAAACAAATTTCACTAATTCCATATTTAACCTAGTTTTGTATATTAAACTTTTTCCAATCTGCATTCAAAATTCTTAGTTTAGCAATTACATATATATATAAATATAGCTACACTTTGCCTATAAGGTTTTAAAAGATCATAGAAATTAAATTTGCAAATTATGAAAATATCTCAAATCAAGTGTTTACACTTTACGACTATTTTAGTAATAAATTTTAACGATTATTGTAATCAATTTATATTAATATTCATTATCTCTTATTCAATTTCATAATCTTTGTTTAACATTTTCCATTTGCGGGTCTGTTCAAAGTGTACAAAAACAAGTCTTCAATTTTTTCTCACATTTACACAAAAAAAAAAAAAAAAAATCAAAAAGAACAACAAAAACTCCTGCCACTAGAACTTTCAGAACTCAAAGAAACTGAATCTTTTTCTTCTGTTCGTTCATACAAAACTATAACCAGTTTGAAATAAGTATTATGACTCATACTCCTCGTATGACCATACAATTTTAAGCATGCACTGGCATGTCCACCAACAAGTTAAAGAAATAGTAGTGTGTTAATAAACTATGGGAAAATTTGTATAAAGATGCTTTGATTTTTTTAATGCGTAGTTTGGATTCTCACTGAATGTACAAACACAATCACCACACCCAGTTAGAGTTGGTCTTAGGACAACAAAAATATAAACTTAAAAAAAAAAAACAAAGGAAAAAAATGAAAAAAAAAATCATTACGAAAAAAAAAGAACAAACAAGTGAATTTAAGTCAAATATAAAGTTAAACAAGACTTTTGCATAAATTTAGCGTAAACACAAACAGATAGACAGACTGCTTGCTCTGTTGCTGCTGCAGGCTGAACGTAATTTTGCTCAAGACATGAATGCAAAATTAAAACAGGTTTGTTGCTTAAGTCTTTTGTTTTGATATAGTTGTTGATTGTTAATGTTGTTATAGTTGCTGTTTGTGGATGTTTAAATGGAGTGCTGCAACTTATATTGTGAATTACATTTAGTACCAAGGAATTTGGTACTTTTTTTTGGATTTTATTTTTAAAAAATAATTTACTATTCTATTGATTAATCTGTGGATTATTCTATGAACTGGTATAACGAGAATCTATGGACTAGTATATTGACGAGTTTTTGGTCTAGTTTCTTAACTAGTCTCTTTACTAGTCTAGTGATTAGTATATGGTCTGGATATGAACTAGTCTATATACTAGTCTATTGAATAGTATCTGGTCCTAGTCTCTTTACCAGTCTATGGACTTTTATTAACAAGTCTTTGGACTACTCACTGAACTAGTATCTGAGTTACTCTCTGGACCTGTCACTAGACTGCCAACTAGTCTCTGCACGATTCTTTAGACTTATCTCTGCACTAGTTTATAAACTAGTCTCTGTATTCGTCTTTGGACTAGAGATGAACTAGTCCATTGACTAACCTCTGAACTAATTTATTTACTAAGTACTCTATTGATAAGTCTCTATACTAGTTTCTGGACTAACATCTTTACAGTCTATGGACTAGTCTCTTTACAAATCGTATCTGGAGTAGTATCTGACTAGACCCTGAACCACTCTCTGAAGTAATTTCTCAACTAGTACCTTAACTACTCTATGGACTAGAGATGAACTAGTCCATTGACTAACCTCTAAATTAATTTATTTACTAATCTATGGGCAAGTGTCTATACTAGTCTAAGGACTAGTCTCTGCACTAATATTTTTTCAATTCATCTCTTCAGCAGTCTATTTACTAGCCTATGGACTAGCTTTTGAACTAAGTTCTTAACTAGTATATGGAGTATTATCTTTACTAAACTGCGGACTACACTTTGTAGTAGTTTATATCCTAGTCTCTTTCCTAGTCTATTGACTAGTATATTATCTATCCTAAGGAGTAGTCTATAACCTAGAGTCTTTTAGAGTCGTGGAATAGTCTTTAGACTTATATCTGGACTAAATAGTATCTGGTCTAGTTTATTAACTAGTCTAGCGACTAGTCTATAACCTAGTATTTTTACTAGACTACTCTCATTCCTAGTTTGTAGACTAGTATTTTTACTTTTCTGTGGACTATTTATTCGTCTGCACTAAAAAATATTTACAATATTTTGATATTAACAAAAATTCTGAGTTTCTTTGTAGAAATTAAGATTTTGCTTTGATGTTAAGTGTTTGCATTGAAAAAGCACCAAAAAATGTACCAACCCTGCCATCTCTGTTATTACTGACTACAAATAAATACAATGTTGTGAAATTCATTTAATACTCTTTGGAAACTCTTTATATTTTTTCGATTGATCAAGAATAATTTAAACAAAATAAAAACAAATAATTTAAATCAATTTATTTTTATGTAATTTATTTTATACCGAATTCTTTTTATACAAACATTTTCGTTAAATTTAAAAAAAAACTAAATACATGGACAAAATGAAATACTATTTGTATGACGAGGTGTGCATACATAATAATAAAAATGACTTTTGGGTGGTGATACACGGCAATATATTAGATCTAACTCCACTAATAAATGATCGTCAAGATTCTTGGAATGTAGTAGGTTTATTTAAATAACTAAATTATCATTTTAATTAATATTAATTTAAATGTTCTTAGAATTTAGACTATTTAATGGCATTTGGTGGCAAAGATTTATCACATTTTTTCCATTTGAATAATTTACCTAAAACCGAAATTTCTCCTTTAACCGGCAAACCTCGTGTTTTATTTCCACCCATATTAGAGCTGGCTCAAAGTGAACAGCTTAAAACTCCTGGTAAATTATGGAGTCAGGATCCTTTATATCATATAGGTCAAGTAACGAAAAAAGAACGTAAAATACGTTTAATTAATACCTTAACTGCTACCACCACTTTTATGAAAGTTTGTGCTGAAGATACAATTTATGATATACAACGGAAATATAAAGAAATTTACAATAATCATGCTGGCAGCTACTTATGGCGCAAATTTTCCAATGGTGTAAATTTTCTCAATATTTTTAATGAAATTCTAATGTATTCTTTTGTTTAATATTTATTATTTTTTTCTTCTTGCATTTTGTTCCCCTTTTAAACAGGGTCAATGTCCTGGTACATTAATTTTACACGAAACCCTCGATGGCAATGGTTTAATTGCAGAAGATAGTGATATTGAATTACCTTTACCTTCCATTTGGTTATATTACACAGATGATTTGACAGTGGCTTAGTTGAAATTGTAAAATTTTACATTGGAATTCCATTGTAGGAAAAAATATAACATTTTCTTAAGATTCTTTTGATTCACATTTTTTCACATAATTTTATTTGTCTGTTTAATTTTTGTTTTCATACATTTCTAGGTGCTTGTGTTTTTTTTCTGTTATTTGTAAAGCAACGACACATTTTATTCAAATAATGTCTGTGTTTTCTTTTCCATCTTATAGATTATAATCTGATCTTGTATTGTGATTTTTATTCTCAGGATTTGTCATGTTTATTTCTACTTTGTTTAAGATTTAATGAGTGGGCGTTGTCTGAAATTTTCCTTTTTCTTGCAATAGTAGACAATGACATTTTGTTATTTTTAGAAAAATTAGAATATTCTTTGTTTTTTTTTTTAAGAAAAGAGTTGAAGTACTTTTTAGATGTCACACCTGAAGTAGTTCTTTAATGTGTTGTAATTCGAGAGCTTATTTATTGTCTAAGGTTAGAGGTAATAGTTCACCAACTATCAGTAGTATAATACCAACTTAATCCTGTTTTTAATTAAAAGTAGAGAGGGAAAGAATGTGTTTTTTGTTTGCAAAATTATGTAATTGAAAATCTTTACTCAATTCTTTTTCTTCCAAATTTCCCCTCTTTTATAGCATTAAATAATTTCGTAAAACTTTAATTATTACCAAGAATAATGTTTAGACAATTAAAATTACACACATTTCTTTAATTTATTTTTTTGCTGGGTTAATGTGAAATATGTTTTGGCCATAACTTCCTAATTTGGTTCCGCTAGAATAATATTTAATTTTTTTATAATTTGTTCATGATTAAAGTAAGTACACGGAAAATAATGTTAATATTTTCAACGAAAAATTTTTAACTCAGAGTCGAAATAGTTGTTAGATATGAATTCTGTTTTATTAATTTTTACATCGAAAATGTTTCAATAAAAAAAGTTTTTAATCGATTTTTAAATAAGTTTTAGTAGATTTTAAAGATTTTTTTTATTAAATCCATGTTTTTGAATAACCTAAAATCGTTTGGAATTTCTTAAGTAGTGTTTTAAGTGTGAAAAGGACATTTATTTGTGTTTCATCGTAATTATTTTAATAAATCTTGTGATCAATTAGAAACATTTTCAATAAACATTTTTATCAACAAAATTTACAATATATGTTTTTGATTGAAAAACTAATGTTTTCATTGAAAAGTTTTTATTCATTTTTTTATTTATTAATAAATATTTCATCGAAATTTGTTCAATAAATGTTTTAGTTGAAATTTGTTCATTCAATTAACATTTTCATTGAAATTTTTTATTTAATTATTGAAATATTTCGTAAAATCATTTTTAAGATTGTTTGAAACAATTTCATCTTTGATTGATGAAATTTTACATAAAAAATTTTTTAATCGAAAAATTTTTTAATAAATTTTATTTATTGAATAATTATTAAATATTTTTGTATTGGAAAACTTTAAACATTTTTTTTTTTTTTCAATAATTTTATTCATTAAAAAATATTCAATTATTTATACCCTACATTACTATACTGGGGAGGGTATTATGCGTTTGTGCTGATGTTGGTAACGCACAAAAATGTTGGTCCTACAGCCACCTTAAAGTATACCGATCTACTCAGAATCACTTTCTAAGTCGATTAAGACATGTCCGTCCATCTGTCCGGCTGGCTGGCTGTCCATGTAAACTTTTTGCGCAAGCTACAGGTCACAATTTTCAAGATATTTTGATAAAATTTGGACCCTACGAGTTTTTCGACACAAGGATGCCTATCGGTCCATTATTTTACCTAGCTCCCATACAACCTGACCTTCCGATTTGGGGATTTTAACTCATAGCTACATCAAATCTACTACTATCACTCCAAACTAACACAACTAAGTTTTATATAGATATAACTGACCATGCGTATTTTTTTAACAATCGGCCGTCGTTTGACCCTTGCCCCTATACAAACACACCCTTTAAAAATATTTTAAACGTCCAAAACTTGACTTATAACCATTACTATAGCTATGAAATTCAGTATAACTAATCTTTATATAAAAATACATACCTCCTCCCGATTTGTTAAGGATTCAACATAAAAGTTTCTTTATGAAAAATAAATAATTTTTAAAATATGTATACTTATGGTGTAGGGTATCATCGGTTTACTTTCCTACTTGTTTTTTCTTTAAATTATGAAAGATTTCAGCAAAGCTGAGAAACATACTCATTCCATTTCAAAAATTATAAGTTTTGAACAAATCAATTACAATGGGTGTCTTCAAATCCGAATTTTCCAAACTATTAGATCGCAAGATCTGTATTTTAAATTAGTTTAGAACTTTTGAATTAAAGGAAAATTTTCTAACAAAAATCGCACAATTTTCTTAAAATCTTATTCGTGTTGCCACTTTTACCCATAAATACTATTTACATACATTCAAAATAAGAAATGTTTATTATTTTTATTTGTCATTTCTTTCATTATTAATAATTTATATGCCACTACTGCCACCAATTAACAATACCAGAGTCACGTCTCTGCGGTCAAATTGCCGGACATGGACAACGGATCTTTTTAAGGCAATATAATGATTTTTTTTATATAAAAAAATAAACGAAAAGAAAAGAATTCACAAAGTTTTATTAAACATTTAATAAATTGAAAGAAAAAAACAACAATAATAAATAAATAAAGAATATTATGTGTTAGTTATAATGACTTTTTCTGTAAATTATTTAAATGTTTAGTGTAAAAAAAAATTTTAAAAAAGAAAAAGTATTTTGTTTATTTGTTATTGTTGCCTGACCATTAACGGAAGTCCAAGTTATGCTAAACTTTGCCTTATTTGTTTTAAAGCTGCACCTAAAGACTCCCATAAATGTAGTAAAAATTTGAAAACAACTTCCTTTTACTGAAATTTATTTTACAAAAGTTTTGTTGGCTGTTGTTGTTTGCATATGAATGACCTTCATAATTAAAACAAAAAAAACCCTAAAAAATACTCGTAATTTAATTTCTTTTAAAAGATTTCAAATTCACTTTGAAATGTTTCTTTCTATTTTTTTCTTTATAAAATTTCTTTTGAAAAATGTTGAAGCATATAAAAATATTTTCACATTATTTGCATTTTAAGTTTAGTTTAAGTCAGTTTATAAATCGTTTAATGTTTAATGCCATTCAAAAAAATTATAAAAAAAGAGTTGTGTGTTTATAATTTTTTAAAACACCTTTTTTAAATCCTCAATAAATATTAGATAGTTGTAGGGACAGACAGAAAGATAGCTAGATAGTTTTAAACACTTTTATTCATGTTAAAACTTCCGTTGTTTATTTTAGTTTTTAAATAAATATTTATTTTGTTGTCTTTTAAAATCGTTAAGTTAGTTAGTTCGTGTTTTAAGTTACTCTAGTTTTATGTTAAACATTTTTTTTGTTTGTTCCAAAAGAAAATTCTCAGGCACTTTTGTTACGCATTCTTTTGCGGGAAAAAGTTTTCATTATGACTATTTTTTTTTTCTCTCTCTTTTTTAGTGGCAACATTCCAATGTTTGCGTGTTGAAGAATGTTTAGAAAAAGTTTTAGTGGGAAGTTCATATTTTTAGCTTTTGTCTTTGTTTTAATTTCAGTTTACGTGACCCACCCCACAACACACACACCTTCTAACTGAATTATTTTAAATTGTACTTAAATGTGTGCTAATTAATGTTTAGTTGTAATAAAAATGTATGGAAATTATTTTGAATTATCTTTTATTTAGGTTGAAAATGTTTTGAGGAACTCCTAATATTACGAAATACTTGTTTTGATGAAAACTAGAAGATTACAGCACTAGTACTGTTAATATTCCAGAAAAATCTACTGAAGTCACTTAAACAGTAACTTAATGGACGTTCATCTTTGATCATTAGGGATTATTAGATCAATAGGGGTCCAGTTAAGACTAATGTGAGCACTTCTGAATAAACGATTGTCCGCAGGACATTATTTCGGACTTTCGGTGCTGTGTCATTTATTGGAAAAGTTCCTCCCTCGAGCACGCCGTGTTTGTGCTAAAACCCAAATCACGGGAAGAGAATGTTGGTTTATATATTAATACAAGGTGAGGCTAAATGTTGAGATTAAGTTGATATCAAATGCATGGTATATAGTATGAATAAGGGGTTTGTGGAGCTCATCCCGCATACCAATAGGCATGCATTTTATCATTTGATGAATGAAATGTTTCATTGATTACGAGCTAACATAGTTATTCATTACAGTAATGAAGAGTGTTCATTAATTTTATGACTTTGTATTTAGATTGTAAAACTATATTTCATTGATGGAATGAAATTGGTGATTTATTTAATGAAAATATTTCATAAACGCAAATGCAAAACGATTAAATTTCTATAATGAAAATTGTTTTATTAGATACTAGCTTTGACCAGTGTGCTTCGCTACCCTAGAAACAATATAAAAAACCTTTTACGATTTTACATATTTACTTTTTAGGGGTAAACCCATTGCAATTTCTCTAGTCGGCAAATTGTGGCTCTGATATTAATTTCATCGACCAAAAGCCAATAGTTTTGTTAACATTTCAATGCCATAGTAAACACATTAAAACGAAGGTAGCTAAGGTTCTAGTGGAATCTGTTATCGAATTGATAAAAATTTAATTCATATGGCAGGTACCATGTGCCTATTACTAGTCCGGTTATTTTCCACAAATTGTTCACATGGATTTCAGTATTGCTCGTACAAAATTTGAGCATTCTAGCTCCAATAGTTTCCCCGATATACAAATTTGTGTATCTAATTTATATAGGAAGTACCACGCCCCCTTTTCCAAATCCGGCCATATTTGTCTTAAATATATATATTGATAGCAAAGTGGGTCAGACGAAATTTACAGGAACACACTGTGAACATTTCAAGATAATCGGTTTATCATGTATGAAACTTATTCATTGACATTAAGATATGTAGAAAATAGGAAAAAGGAAAACAACGGACATATTCATTCATTATAATCATGAATATGGTTTCATTAATATTTTGGGAA